GCGTCCTCGTCGCGGCGTCGGAGCGCGTGCAGCACCACCACGCGACGCTCGTGCCCGTGCTCGCGCGGTCGCCCTTTGGGTTCGCCGTGCTGCGGCGCACGCTGGCCTTCGTCATGCAGCTGTCCGCGTCCATCGAGACGCCGCGGCTCAGGCTCGCCGTCGCCGGTCTCGCGCAGGGCAGCAAAAGAGAGCGAAATTCCCAACTTCAAAGGCTCATATCTCGGCCATTTTCCACTCGTTTCGGCTAATTCTTGGACGAGCGATCATCTCTCGGAACGGTCTCGCAGCGTGGACGCTTTTTTCGGAACGCGCGCGCGCGAAACACTCACGTTGAAGCGACGTTGAATCACCCTTTTGCTGCCCAGGTTTGGCGCCCCGCGGCTTCCTCGCGACGGTCGACGGCGACGACGACGTCCGCGTCGACGCGGACTACTGCGCGCGCCTCGACGCGTCCGTGCGCCAGCTCGTGGACCTGGACGTCGTCATCGAGCGGCGGGTCGCGCCCTACGCCGAGGCCGCCGCGGCGCTCCGCGGCGCGTCGCTCAAGGCGCTCAAGGCCGCGCACGAGCCCGCGGCGGACTGCCACTTCGCCGAGGTGCGCTTAGGCGAGGCGGACCGCGACGTTCACGGCTTCCACGCCGCGCGGCGAGCCGGCGCGCCCCTCGCGGCGTCGTCGAAGAAACTCGACGGCTTCGACTTCGCGTTAAAACCGTGCGGCGACGGCCGGACGCTGTTGGTCGAGCTCGCGCGGCCGCGGCCGCGGGGCGGCCCCGGCGCCGACGCGACGCCCCTCTGCTGCGGCCTCAGCGCGGGCGCCGAGGGCGAGGCCGAGGGCGCCGCGAGCCTCGCGGCGCGCGGCTCCTGGACGTCGAACGGCGCCGACGACGGCGCCGCCGACGGCGCCGCCGCACCGCCCGCGACCCTGCTCGCCGCGGGCGACCGCGCGGCGGTCCACGGCCTCGACTGCGCGGGCACGCTCAACGCGCTCGCGCGGGCCCACGGCGACCGCGTGCTCCGGGACCGCGTCGCGCTCGCGCAGGCGTCGCTGGACGCCGCGGCGTCGGACGCCGCCGCGGGCGTCGCGAAG